TTTTTCTACAATTAAGAAGAAAAACATCCTCAATCAGGAAGACATCAGTCGCAGATGTTTCGGCCCATTACTACTTAAAAATCAAAACGATATCAAAAAAAAAATTTTCAAAAATGGTGACCTATGAGAATTGTGGAGTGTGAAGTTATAGGATCCCTATGCAGAATTGATTGCATATATCTATCAGCTCATTTCTGAATCTATATCTTGTTCTTCTTCATGAGGAAAATACGTCATCTTCGACTCCAAAAATTATACATTCATGATTTACAAGTAAAGATCTCAAAGGACCATAGATAATCGCTTTACGAACATTTTGAATTTAAAATAAATCATATTTGGCGAAAGGAAGAAAACTTCTATTAAATAAAACTTTGTCAGGACGATACGAAATAGATACGAGAATCAGACTGATAATCATGATCATCGACATTTGATCTTTTCATAAAACAATGTTAAGATGAAGTCCGTCATAAGTCGTCACTTTTTTCCTCCAGATTATATAAGTAACAAATAACGACTTTTGAAACGTCCGAATAAATCTTTTTAACTCCTATCAATACACATTTTCATATCTGGATACATACATTTTATGATTGAAATATCATGTGTCAACATTACTTTTGAACCGCAGTATTCAATATTTTTTCAACTTAATAATGTCAAGCTCTTAGTTCAATTATATGAAAATTTCTGCCGACAGGATAGTTTGAGTATACTATCACTAATTAAGTTGTCATTCGCTTTAGCAAGCCTCACTTTGACAAATCATCGAAAATAGTTAGAGCAATGTAGTGTAAGTGTGAATACATTCTTATCTAATATATCGGGTATTCTATAAGTATCTTCATGATAAAAAAATTGAGTAACTCGTCTATGTTTCATAAAAGAAATATGTAACAACTACTGAATTAAGTTTTTCTCATTAGTTTTAATATAGAAATATTATTTAATAGGTAAATCATCTTGAATGAATGATAGTTTTTTTTTCAAAATAATTTTTAGAAGGTGGTGTGTATATTAATTTATAGTTCTCAGACAAGATTACATCTTCTTATTGAGGTCAACGATAAATGCTTGATACAGTTTTTGTTATATACTTTTCGTATGAATAAAAACTTTGGTTGCTCCTCAATCGATAAGTAAAAGTACAGCCCATACGATTGAAACATAGTTAAGTTATTCAAATTTTTGTCGTCAAGATATTTGTGAAACGCTAAAAATTCCATCACTATTTTTCAATTTTATTCAAAAACATTCTAATGTTTCGGTTCTCCTGAATCCGTTCGATTTCATTTTATGATTTCACAATAAATTCAATATTTATCTATTGATTAATATGATTTGTATTAAAAATGCTGAGGAATGAATGAGCAGCAGCAATCGAAACATCTACTAACACTTTTTTTTCCATTCTGTACTCTTTCCAATAACATCAACATAGCCAGCAGCACGACCTGGAGTTTTGTTGTCGGTCAGAAAAATCGATTGTTCAATGATGATTTACAGATCTGATTCTCATCTATGAAAGGAGATTATGACTATTAGTCTAGTAGTAATTCAAAACTTTAAGGTCGATGTTCGAATAAAGATCTGATCAGTTAGCTGACACTGATATAACTCAAATGATGTAGAAAAAAGTAAAGTCTAGTATAGTTTGTATTTAACAATTAATTGAAGAACATCAGAAGTTGATTCATCTGTTAT